TGTAGACATACCATGCAGTTGGTATAAGCCTATCTTAGAGCATTAAGGAAAAGCTGTTTTGTAACGTTACATCATTTATAAGCAAATCTACATATGCAACAACACATTCCACAATCTAATTAGATCATTTTTGTCATTATTGGAAGCTGTGGTGTTAAGAAAATGAAGGTTCAAGCATGAATTCCTGCTGAACATTATGGACACGTGTCTATTCATACATGCGATATTGGAGAAGTGACATTCCCTTTAGATTTAGTGTAAAAGTAAAAAAATCCTAAATGTTTTCTACAATAGATAACAGTTTGACATCTTATATAATTAGGGCCCGAGCAGGAAAGCACTGCGAACAAGGAACTGAAACTGAAGGAATTATTTTATTCATCAATGAATCGCATTTTTGGCGGCCGCAACATGTGCGAAAACTCATGAAACGTGGCATACAGTTCGACGGTGGCGGAAATGTATGTATTATATGAGTCACGCATATAGGTGTGGCAGAATGGCTTGATCACACCCCATAAACTCAGCCCCCACGGCATGTTTTATCGATAATATATGAAAATAAATGTGTGTCATGAGAAGACGAACAAAAAAAACTAACTTCTCCTAGGGAATCGACAGTTGTGCTCTTTGTGGCTGTGCGTTAAACAGTGTGTTTGTTTTTCTGGTGTTTTGTTAAAATTTCAATGATTTTGTCATTAAACAGGACGTTTTCATATAAATAAGTGTACTTTGTCCAATCTGCAACAAACTTCACATGTTTGAAAAGAGTCCCGGCCTGAACACGTCTTCTTTAGTCATACTCTTAGCGCCACCAACTGGAATCAGGTTGTAAACCTTATAAGGGGGTTGTGATCTGGTTTATGTGAAATTTTCACAGACTTGTCTACACATGATTTTGCTGTGATGAATGAAGCCCATCAAAATAATGGGTATTGTTATACAATTTAGGTTAGCATGCATTTCTTGTAATTTAACCAAAGTGAGAAAACGCGGCTTTACTAATGTTATTGCTATTATGACCGACTGGCTAACTGGCCAGCCAGAGGGGTAGCTGTGCTAACTAGCATACTATGCCTATAGTATATTTCCCAAGTGTAAAGGTAATTGCATTTTATTTCCACGTCTGTAAAAGGTAATGATACTCTACTAACCACCTTCCTTCCTTTGTATAGTATCACTTCCTGCCACTCACAGTACAGTACCACCAGCTCCCACTGCATCAGCCTCTCAAACCCCCCAGTAGCAATAATCAGTGCAGTCAGGGGGAAATTGATGTAAAAAAGGGGCATTATAAGGTTCGGGGCTAGAATAAAAACATTTGAGACTATAGTCCCTAATGCCCAAGGCTGTCAGGACCCCTGCTCTTGAGCTCTGCTGTGATAACTCTATTTCTTTTATAGTTGGCATACAATACCTCAGGGGCAGCTTCGGTTGCCTGCCTCATGCTACGCTGTTGCATCTAGCTCTCCCCGGTTTAATGGTACTTTTACTAAAGTTTGCCTAAAACTGCTAGAAATGTACGAGGTGGGCGGATGGGAGGACTTTCTACTCTTTAAAAGAGTTTGGGAGAGTCATTGGTGTGTCCTTGCTGCTGACAGCTGGTGTTACTCAGACTCTGCAGCAGAGACGAGGGAAAGTAGAGAGGCTACTGTGGAAATATGCCGTCATGCAGTTTTAAGCAATTCTTCCTTTTTTGTGTGCTTTTTCTCCACTTCCTGATATGAACACAAATAAATTGTGATATTGTGGAGTAACACTTCAAAGTTTTTTTATTTTTTTGGAAAACTATACAGCTCATTTAGTTGTCTAAAATAAACTACATCACAAACGTGCTTTATTTTCAAAAGCATTTTTATTTAGAGACGACCGTTTCAGCTGCCTGAATCGTCAATGTGGTGGGATCAACTTCTGACAAGCGCCAAGCCCTGGAAGAAAAGAAAACTAGTGGTGCATATTGGCAAATAAAATTCTGATTAATTAAATAGCCAAGTGATTGCCACACACAAACTGGGGCTGTGAAGGGTCCGGGACCCCTGGGCAGTTGGCCGCTATGGTCGGTTGGTAATCCAGCCCCTGCCACAGGTTTTCTGTCATTTAGTTTGATTAAACACAACTCTTTGTTTATAGTATATTGCACTTATGGTGTGTAGTCTTTAAATAGTAACACCTGAGTGAAGAGAAGTGTCTCACTGTGTGGTTGGGTGTGGTCAGTGACACAATAACACCCCGAATAACACAACACCCTGAACTGCAAACAAGAAGGAAAATAACAAGATACTTTGAGTCTTGAGTATAATAAAAAGGCTGTAATATTACAGGTTGACAGCATTTGCCAGGGGGACATAATCACAGACACTTAAGTAGCAATCACAAAAATTCAATTTCAAAATTACTTTCAAGACATTTCACATAGAAATAATAGTGCCTTGGATTTTTCCATCTTCTTTGCAGTTGTCGCGGCTCGCTTTTACACACTTTTTTTTATAAAATAGTTTTCTTCTTTTTAGACACCCATTTTCACTTCTGCTTCACTGCAGCAAGGTGAGAAGGTACACTACTGGAGGTCAGCAAAAACAAGATTTTCAGCTGCTGTTAAGTTGCTCTTAACTACATGCTTAAACTTGATCTGACATAGGGCCCCTCTGCAAGACAGGGCCACGAGATTAAGTAATAATGCAGGATCCACTTGAACTGATATATCACTTCGGAGGTGCAAATTCCAGAACAAATTTACATTTATTCTAATTATTATTATAGCGTTTGACATACAGTCAACCTGGGACTTTTGGGGCGGTTGGAGCCATTAATAACTGGGCAATTGCCCAGTTTTATCTTCAACTCAACTAGATTTATTACATCATATGCGTTTAATTTAAAATCACATCAATTCAAGTTGTATAATGAAACTGCTTTTACTTTGAGGATATCCCTACTTTCCACTGCTTAAAATATGACTTTCCATATCAAATGTCTTGCAACTTTTGAATTCTACTTAAATTCCATCAATATCATACATAATTTTGCCTTATTTTGGCAAACACAGCTCCACTCAGACCAAACTGCAGAATATGACAAACTGTCAAAAACTGACATGCTGTGAAATATGCACGAGAAGCAGTGCAGCAGCTGAATTTGTGCAGTGTGTGTTTCACAGGATATCACTGGACGGATTGAAAACTGACCAAATGATGCAGAAAACAGATCTTAATGGTCGCCATTTGCTTATCTACAATTGTTGACTTCTTTGCAAAGAATAAAAAGAGGCTCGTGACAGTCGCTCATTAGCCTCCTCCCATAGACACAAATGTATCAAAATGAGCAAGATTTGGGTTCATAATTAATTAAAAGATAATGTGTGCCTTATGTTGCAGCCGTTGTGACTGAGATGCAGCATTCATGCCTCAGTAAGCAAGTAAAATCTTGTTTGTTGTTTTTGCTTAAATAATAAAGCGCTGGTTTTCTGTGAAGAAGCCTGTCAATAAATTGACAAAAACTGATTATGCAGAGGTTATCTGTTTTTCGTTTTTTTCTTTTCAGAGTACAGCATGCACAGTAAAATAAAAGTTTGAATGGATGCTGATTTCATCCAGACTCCATGTAGCTAGTATGTCATGAAAATTTTGTGCAATTAACTTTGTTTTCAGTCATTAAAATTCAATTTCAGTTCTCAGGGTAATCAAACTCTTCTCTCTAGGTAAAAGCAATTTGAATCCGAGAAGCCTTTGTGTTCTGTGCCTCATATACGGTCATTCAAGGCTTTGTAGGAAAGTATATTATCGAATAATAAGATGCCTCAGCGTCACTGAGTGTCTCTCTGTAATAGAAATGGTCAATTTCACCCCTGCGCACCATCAGGGTGCCAAGCGCAGCGTTTCCAGCGACAGCACTCTTGATGATGAGCACCCTTATTTAAGGTACACACACACAGTTGACACTTTTGGCAAATAATCATTTAAATCAGATTTTGCTATTTAAGTTGAAGCATGAAAGCACAGTCCGCCCACCCACACACCTGCTGTCACCGCATACAAGTCGGCAGATCTGTTCCGATGTGAAAAATGCATCACTTGGTTATGCTTTGCTTCCAGTCGTCGAGAGAGGAAAAAATAAAGGACTTATGCAAGGTAAAACCAGGCGGAGGAGGTAATAGGATTTATTTTTCTGTCTTCTTTTAGTGGATTTTTAACAAAACTGTTCCTCTTTTGCAATTAATGATGAAAAGTGCTGGTAAAAGACTGGTGGTGGACTAAGTGAAGGTTCACGGTGTCGAGCCGAGTCTAGTGTTACTTGTGCAGGTAAAAAAAAAACAATGAACCAGAGAACTGGCTCATGTGCTATAAAAAGGCAGAACACCACTTCAGATTCTCCAGTCAGACCCACCAACAGCCTTTTACAAAACTGATGATAATTGCCAGGTGTGTTAACCCTCATGTGTGCACAGAGAGCGCACACCAGCATGTAACCCAGTCCAGATGGCGTACAGTAGAGTACAGTATGCATAAATACACTTCTCCCTCTGGGACTTTAACGAAACTTGACATTTGCCATGCTTTAGTGCCTCTGTGGGGTAGCAGCGCATACACTGTGCTTTTAATCCAGCCTGCCATTTTAAAAAAATGTCTGTGCAAGCTCTCTCTCGTCTCTCCCCCTAGCCTTTGAGAAATGATGCACCTTGAAAATAATCTTTAAAAAAGATTGTGTGCATACCTTGAGAGCAAGCGGAACTATTTGTTAGAGGTGCAACACAGGGTAATATATCCCAAAGGGACAGTTTTATAGGAGCGTTAATGTTTGCGTGTCTACCTTGATGGGTGGTTGTTTGTGGACCTGGAGAACTGCACACACAGGTCTACATATAGCACACAAACAGTGCATTTGCATAGGTGCTATATGTTGAAAAAGACGTTTTCCAGCACTGCTTTTAAGTCAAGAATATGCACGTGGATATGCATACTGTAAGTAGGCTTAGTCACTCGCAGCGTGCATCTGTACAGTACCTTGATAGCAGAGGTGGCGATCTGGAGGTGGTGCAGTCGCCTCAGGGTGCTCTCTCGATCCGTGAAGTAGGAAGCGGCCAGCTGATGGAGCAGCTCCAGAGACACCACTGAGCTGTTGCTGTTACCCTCTGACTTCTTATTCAGCTTCTGCTTGTCCAGGAAAATGGTCAAAGACTCCTCTCCTGTGGATCAATAATCAATCAATAAATTCAGTCTTTAAGTCACCTAAGCTATATTTTGTATGATTATTTGACAGTGTTGAAATTTCTTCTGGAACCTTATCGACGAAAGAATTGAATCCTCTGCTTACAGGGGGAAAATTACTGACGGGTCACTTCCATTATGACATTACACTGTGCCAGAGCAACAGGCTGATGATTTTATCCTTGGAAGAACTTAAGTGACATTCTGCGTCTGACATTTCTTTGGCAGACCTTCACTGTCTCACTGTGGTTTTGTGGTTTGTCTGCTGTGATGCACATAATGTATCATTTGCTTTTGCTTCGCTCCCTTCACACAATTATAGAACCATTAACAAAGCCAAGCCTAAAGACAATGGGTTGTGTTTTTCTGTGTCCTCTGATGGTGTTACGTAACATGCTTGTGGCTCCCAGCCATAACTGAAAGGGAGAATAAGGTCTGTTTCAGTATGTGATTTAAAATATGAAGTTTCTCATGAAATCAAGTTTCTTATTTTAATAGATACTAATTAAAAAGGGCAATGAGTGACTGCCAGTGTTGCTGTTTCATAGCATTTGGAAGTGCAGAATTAGACACCAAAAAGTCTGATAAGGAGTTAATTGTTGGACAGATAGCCTATATTCATATGCATATATGGAAATGAATCAGAATTTATACATTTTCATTGTCATTCTTACATTATCCAATTGTAAAAATGTGTATCTGTTACACACAAATATATAAAGTGTTTCAATATTTTGTCAACTAAAATGTTCTTCTTCTGTTATGTCCTGACCAGGGGCCTTTTCCTCTATGTTTTGCCTCAATATCAGACTTGAATCTGCCTAGATAGACTAGTTATGGACTCCAAATCCAAACAAGAAAAGTCTTGGAGGAAAATTAGCTTATGGTTAGGTCTCATCTGTGGCGAGAAATCAGTTCAGTCAGTCAGCATTATAAGGCTCAAATATGTTTTGTGGCTCCTTTGATAAAAAGATTGCTGTCCCCAGGCCTAGTAGCTAACTAGCAGAAGCAAACTAATACTAAAAATATATATCAAATGTCTGCTCGCCACAGTGTCACATTTGCTAACATTTTTAAAACATTCAGCAGTGCTCTCATTGTGCCTTGTCTTGCTAGCTGTTTGTCAGTTTAAACAGGAAATAATAACATGGATGAATGTTTGAATGTGAAACATGCTAACTGTAGCTTTTACTCTTAGCTTGCGTGGTGGGGCATAATGTCACCAGTGTTTGGTGGAAATGTAGATTATTGTCTCATCTCTGAAGTCTGAAGTCAAATCCTTAGAAAAACAGGTGTGGAGGGGGTTAGCCGTTGTTACTGTAGTACACTATACGTGCCACAAGGTTTTAATAAAGAGTTATTGTATTGGTTTGCCCTACACTAAGTGTGATATTAAATAAAACTGCCGTCCCATTTCTCTGTGTCATTTTATGGTGTTATGTAACATGCTTGTGGCTCCCTGCAATAATTTTAAAGGATAATTATGTCTGTTTTAGTATGTGATTTCTTCTTAAAAAGAAACTAATGAGTTAAAGGTTTCTCATGAAGTTTTTTTATTTAAAGTTACTATTTTAAAAGAGTCTTGCCAATGTTTTCCCTAAAAAGAATAACATTAGTTGGGTTTAAATCCATGGTATTTGGCTAATAGTGACAATCGGGCTCTGTCCGAGATCACTCCCTATTATAGTGCACTATATTTAGCCTCCACCTCCTTATTTGACAGTCTGAATTCTGAGTGTGAAATATATACATGATGCAATGCCCTTAAAAATGTGTCCACGCAGTCAGAGGAAATATCTTGGATGGACATTTCAAGAATATTGTAGGACGAATTGTCATTCATGAACTTTTTCATTTGTGAGAGGCTGCTGCACCTCTTGCACTATGATCCCTATACACAATTCACAATATTATTTCAATGTGATTTTCTTACTAAACCAATTTATGTATGCAATGTATTTGTAATTAGCAAACAAAACCACAGCATTACAGTTACATAAGCACCATATGACAGTGTAGTTATCTTAATGACTAAAGTACATTTCTTAACTACAGTATGCCATTTTAATACTGATGGCACAGAGCTGCCACTCATGACAAAACCACAATTTTAAGTGCTGCTGATGGCTGAAAGCTGGATTTGAGAATGCCTGAATCCAGCCCAAACCTTCCTGCCACAACAGATCAATACAGACTGTGAAACCTGTTCTCAGTAGGCCTGCTCACAATGACTTTTCACACATTGCATTACACATTGCAGTTGATATACTAATTGTTCATGAGTCACATTTTTTTTCTTTTTACGTAAAAAGTAATTTTGGGAGGTGTATGGGTGTGTAATGAGCGGGCACGCAATGTGCCACCATTGAAGGTCTGCTGTGGTTTTGTTAGCTCAGGTCTTTTTTTCTTTATTTATAGACTGGGCTCAGGTCGGACTCGGGCTCATTTAACTTCTCTCCTTTCATTGTCCCCATAGTGTATGTGTGTTTTTGCATGTACCAGCACGAGCATCGCAGAGAGCTTTTTAACTTCTCTACTTTCATTGTGCCCATAGAGAGTGAGTGTGTGTGTGTGTGTGTGTGTGTGTGTGTTTGCAGCATCAAATAGAGCTTAATTGGGGTCGATGTGAAAAATTGCAGACGGTGTCGGGCTGGGGCCGGGCTAGGTCTGGAATTGTTGGCCCGTGGAGGGCCCTAGCTGGCATTGGTGATCGGCCTGTGTCCATAGCAAACACTACCTTCTGCTAACAGTCCCATACTGTAATGCAACACCTAAGTACCAAGTTTTTTTTTTTTGCTCAGCTTCACCAACACTTGCATATTACGGCCTGATTCTTGAAATTTTTCAGATAAGTGCATTTTATTTTTGACAATCATTAAGACAATTTATACACTTCAACCCAGCTAACATTGTGCAAATGTACTTCACAGCTCAATGTAATCATGGCTGGCGAGACAGCAATAAAAAGCACAAAAAAAGGAGATGAAAACAGTAACACAAAAAAGAATAAAAATACAGATCTGGGATGTGTGCATTCGCTCAGCCACAGACTAATCAGTATGCAGGCTGGCTCGGCCCATTTAGCTGAAGCTGTTAATTACATATAGAGTCTAACTATCAGTCTGCCGCTGAATTCATCTCTCGTCTCCCACGCTGATGCTCCGGTGCATGCATCCAGTGATAAGTGGCACCAAAGTTAGGTGTCTGAGCATGCAAACCGAACACATCACTAAAATATCAGAGACTGTTAGGAGTGTGTGTGTGAATGGGTGGTAGCCAGCTTTAGAAGATGTATTGGTAATGTCAGATTAAAATGATAGCGTTTTGTCATAATTTAAAGACCATTATATATATATATATCTCATGAGTGAGTAAGTATCCACTGCTATTTTATACATTTACTGTATATTGCAGACTGATCCGAGTACCCCAGCCTTGTAAATCTCCCCTGACTCTGATGGAACGAACGCTTAGGTGCTGAGATGTTTATACTCAATTTCCTACAAGTCCCTTTATAAAAAACTGCCAACTGTAAAGATGTATATATCTAGGCTGCTACTGTATGTGATGACCATGGAGGGATCAGCAGTGTATCAATATCATGAGGTCGCCGCTCTAAACGTAACCCAGGTCTCAGTCTTGTTTTGTGAGGTGCACGCGATCGATACTGCTGGTGATTCTGTTTTGTGAGTTACTTCTCTCCTCGGAGATAGCGGCTAAAAAGAAATCCAATAGAAACAGACATATGCTACGAAATGGATCAATTTAATCCCTCTCCTGCTTTGTAAGGCTCTTGCAGCTGATGTTCATCAGGAGGAAGGATAAGTGGAAAATTACTGAGGAAAACAACTTGGGTTGAATGCTGCAGGTGCAAGGTGTGGTACTGTTGCCATTGCTGCTTTTCACTTGACATTTTAACTTGAACACAAGTGCACAGATCCTACACTTCTGCAGCGCTACACTAACATAGGCTATAACTCAGTGTGTTTTACTGTGAATTCCTCTGAGACTTAAAACGAGTAGCTCTATTTTTGGTGTGTCCCAACACTTCCTAACCCGAGAATAAAGGCGAATGTGTCACCTGCAGTCCTTCCTTACCTCCCAGGGTAGCAGAAACTAGGAAGTGGGTCCCGTACTTCTTGATGAGGTTTTCGTTGATTTGCTGCAGGGTCGGCCGTCGCCCCAGTAACCGCAGGTTGCGTAGGAACTCTGGCGCTAAGGGCAACGGAGCTTTGAGGAAATCTCTCTTCTCTGTCGCCAGGCTGTTCACCTTCCAGTGGCTGAACTCCCTGAAATGATGAATACATTAGAAGGTGAATACACATGGAGATGATAACCATTACACATAGACGCATTCACACACAAGAGACTGAAAGGTTCTTCATCTTCTTCAGCGAAGAAGCCAGAATAAAAAGAAAATGTACTCGTCAAATTGATTGTGACTCAAATTGTTACAGGTTAATGAACACCTTCTATCCATACTCTGTTGATTTGTGCTGTAAAATCAATGAGACCATTTACTCTTGTCAATGCCAGTGTCTTGTATTAGGATAATACAAGTATATCTTGGTTTAACATGCAAATTAGGGTCAACCCAACTCCAGTGTGGCAATGCACTAAAAGCCTATTTGGTAACTGCCAAAAACACCAGAAGAATAATAACTTCGGTTGATGACTCATCTGGATGGACTCTATGGTCTACAACAGTGGTTCCCAACCTTTTTCCTTAAAGAATCCCTTCTATATCATTTAGTAAACTAACAACCCCTGACTGAGTTTTGTGGATATTTCATATTATATTCAAAACTGTACAAATAGCGTAGTACCCAAATAGTGAGCTGAGTAACTACAAGAAGTTTGTGTACAATGAGTGATTTGGATGAATTTTTAGCAGATTATTTCCTATTCCAGGAACTTTTTATAAAATTCTTTGTCTGTATTTTTTTTTAATGTTTGACATGATTGTCATACTTACTGGGCTTCTGTTTTGACAAATTCAGGGTTTTCTTTTTCAGGCAATTTACTTTACATTTACATTTCTTCACAGAATTGAACCTACTCACAGTACTTTTAAGATGTTCTTACACTTACACGCCAATCAATAAGGCCTCGCAACCCCTGATGAAGCTTTGGTAACCCCTAGTGGAGTAGTGGGGGAATTACTGGTCTGCGAGCAAGATGGAAGTTTGCTTAAAGGGGAACTTGGCAACTCTAGCCATTTCTTCGCTGGCTTTCATTTTTGTCATTGCATGTTTTCTCAACGAGCTCCACCCTACAGCCCTGGGACATGTATTTCACAACACCCAGGTCGAAAAAACTCCCTTGCGCACCCTCCTCCCCCCTTGTCTACCGCTGCTGATGTTGCCTTTTTTCGGACGGGCAACTTTTTCGTGTGGAGCCAATATCTACCGAGGTGGGTATACATTAACATAACCGGCATTGAGGGGGGCGGGGCGTGTGCCGTTTATGTATGAATTGCCGTAAAGCCGTTCGTGTTTCTCGCTCGTTCTCGCCTTCTCGTGATACTTCCTAATTTCCAATTTTAAACCGTGACGGTAGTCCCAAAGTTGCAAGGGTTGGGTTTTCCGCCTGGGGTCGCCTGAGGGGGGGGGTGGGGGGGTCAACCATTTTCACCGGAACAGGCCATTTAACCATCCAGATGATTTCTAAACGGGTTTATTAAGCTGAAAAAGTTGCCAAGTTCCCCTTTAAACCACCTCCTGAGCTCGTTGGTGTCATTTACAGCAATCCAGTGCATAAAGGGTATTAAGAGTAAATGGAGTCGATGGGTGAATCAGAGGGGACTTAATACTTGGTCCCTTTTACCCTTTTACTTTCTTCAAGCAGCTAAAATTGGAAGTGTTTTTTCCATTGACCTTTGACTCCTTCAACTGTCTGCTATTACCAGAAAGCCTTAGTTCTATTTGCTGTAAAGACAGTGCCCTCCTCACCTTTTGTGCTCTAAAATCTAACCATGCTCACACATAAATGCAATGTTAAAAGGCAAGTAAAGGCTGTCAGCATTGTAAGCGCTGGTCTTGTGTTTGTTCACATTTACTCCAGTGTTCCAAAAACTAATGTAGAAATGATTAATTGATGTTAAACTGTTACCTTTGGGACTTCAATTAAGTACTCAAAATTAGATTAGATTGCCTTCAGATGCTGGTTATATAAGTGTTATCAATATTAAGGACCTTTAAATCAGTCACTGCCATGAAAAGTAATTATCACAATACTCATTAGATTCAGTTCAAGTTAAAATCTTTTTAAAACTGCAATAAACAATATTTCATATGAAAATTGGTCAAATGTAAAAGGTGTCACCTCACTCTGCAGTTCCACTCAGCTCTGCAGAACATTGTAGTGCCTTTCAGCTTATTGTTTTGCTTTTACAGCCCAATCTGACAGCAAATCTCTAAAAATAAATCTGTATGCTACCTGCCCAGCTTTAAATGGCAGACAAATAACATGTGAACAAATTACAGTCACATATAAGAAAGCCAGCACAATGTTCTCATTGTATTTATGTGCAAAAATAAAACAAAAGGTGGGTAGAACACTGACTAATTTCTACTAAAAAGCAATCAGTACACATAGCAGTATAGAGAGAAAGGGTTTAATCACTGAGACAAAACACTGAGAAAAATACAAAACTTAAAAATATAAGGCTGGCATGATTCTGTGTATTTTAGATATTCACATTTTCTTTATGTTAACAAATATTAAAATATGAAAAACAGCAACCTGTTAGTTCATCTCTCAATACTCTTTAGCTTCCCTGGAGCAAATCTGTAAAAGGAATTTTTTCTGGAAATTACAGAGCTTTAGCCGTTTAGGACCAGTTTTTGGTCCTAAATGGCTAAAGCTCTGTAATTTCCAACAAAAACAGCTGGGTAGTTTTTAACAAAATTACTCAAACATAAATGAATAGTGTATTTGTTGGAGACTACTTTCAGTTGCAGAATTGGTGCTCTGGAGTATTTATGTACAGTGTGTGTGGTTACAAATAATCTACACAGCCAACATTCATGGTAATGAAGGAACATTATGGCAACCATTGCTGTATGGCACAGAGAATACACACACAATACTTGTTGTTGCTGACACATTCATTGTAGGCTGACAATAAGAAAAAAATAAGCTTTTAAGGAATATCTTTGACCTGACTGTTCCTGGTCACAGTAATACATTCATACTGTACTTTGGAGCTGAGTGACATTTAAATTACTGGACTTCTAGTGCACCCGGTTCCTCAGCTGTCCACACAAATGTTGGCAGTAGCAGAGACAGTTCAACTGGCCAACATATCGCAGTGACAGAGACAGAGAGACGAGTCTGGAAAATTCATCCACTTCAGGTAGCTGATAATCATTCCATCACTTCAGTCCTGCCACAGCAGAACCCCCGAGGTATGTGAAGATTATGCAAATACCAGCGGAAAAGTACAGATACACCTCATATGCATACATTTGCTGGCAAAACAAGAGGCGTTGAACATTAGCACATTATATATGCATTCTCTCTGAACAAAATACCAGCAGTGACACGTTGTTTTCCCATGAGTGCTCTCTCTCTCACACACTCTCAGGAACATACACAGAGGGAGGTACATATACTGTATCACTGTGTCGATCTCCCACTGGCTGCTCTTACACTGCCTTTCTGTGGTCAATAGTTTACTATTACTGATAACACGATACTGTAATTATGTTGTTGACAGCATTATAAGCACACTAGGGTAAATACAATAGGCCAATTCCCTTAATAATACAAAATAAATATGCATAGGGTCATTCAGATGGTACAATGGTAAAGACAGCAGAGGGCTGTAATT